GTTTATAGACTGGCAAAGACTTCCTTTGTTGTTGCAAATTAACGTTTCCTTTGTCCGCATTTTCTGCTTGAATGTTTTGTTGATTATCCTCGTATTTTTGGATTTTGCTTGAACTTTCGTTAAACACGACGGTAGTAGGACGTTTCGATGCTAATTTCGAGAAGCTCGAATTACCAATAACAATATACTTTGAATCTGCGTTGTCGTGAACTCCCATGTCGCCGAAATTTAAAGTAAAACCGACGACTCACTAATGACAACACTTGTCCACGAACACACACGTGTTGCACACTACAGCTGTGTACAAATACGCAGGCATGCTTGACAGGCATCGCAATCAATGGCGTAGTCTTCTTAATTTATGTCGTATTATGTTAAATACAAATTCATGTATTATTAGAAATTGAAAGTAAACTGATTAAACAAAATTTCGCCAAAAAAGCAATAATTTCCTTCCTTTATGCTTCAAACGAGATCGTACTTTTTACCCACATTTTTTACGGAAACTAGTTTGCATAGTTTAAAGAGTGTTCTAAATTTCAAACGTCAAACTTTGCCAACATGTGTGGGGTAAAAAATTTTGAACAAAAAATGATATATTGAGGCTACTTTTAATGATTATTATTTATCTCAAATTCTATTATTTAGCGATTTATATTTAAATTATTAGTAATTGATATTGATTCAGATTGATTTATATAAATTATTCAAAATGATCGGCTTCTATCTCTAGTATGCATGCAAGTAAAAGTATATGCACTGCATATTAGCAAAATTATTAGTGATGATAACTCTTTTTTATCAACAAGTATTAGGTTTTAGAAGTATATTCTTGATAATCATCCAAATTATCAATTTAAATAACTTGTCTAATTACTTATGGCTTCCATTCATATCTCCAAAATAAAGACAAGTCAACTGATATAATATCATATATAACATTTTTTATTCATTTTTTATTCAAAATGATTTGCCAAACATATTGGCAAAGATTGACAATTGGGAATACCTTGTATAAAATAATTTTGTTAACAAAGTATTTAACATTTCTTGAATAAAAAATGTTTTTAATACATATTATCACAACATAACATTTTAAAATATATAAGAATATATAAGCTTTTATTTGTTAATCGTTTCGTTGTTATAAAAAGAATTATATAATATGCTATATCCTAAATTAACATTTATAGGTGTAAAAAAATGTAATGCAAGATAAATTATGACGTTTGGTTTCATTCAACTGTACATTGTTAAACATAATGTACATTAAACATGCATAAAGATACACTTAAATACATGTGTTAAACAAGTAATTTAAAACCTTTATATAGATTTTCTTTTAAACAAGAGGTAGAAAATAATTCTTGATTCATTCATGTTACAGATATATTACATGTATTAACTCGGTCGTGTTTCATAAAATCGCATTATTATGAATATTTATAATTATATATAGAATAAATGCAAATGATGTATATGTATCTTTGTCAATAATTTGTCAATCATAGAGACATTAATTTCTTAATAAAAAATGCTTTTTGATTTATTAAAAGTCAATTATAAATAATTCAAATTATAATTTAAGTATATTGATTTCGAAATTATCACAGATGCTGTGTAACAAGGAAGACACAATGAGCAACTCTTTTTACAGAGATTTTCAATGAATGTAGCTATGCTGTATTTTAAATTTATCTAAATAAAATGCATCATCGTAATGGCCGATGAATCGGTGTTTTTATATTAGGCGGTACCTGAAAATATGAAAAAAAGTATTATATATTAATTACATTTCGAAATGTGTTATATTAATTACATGTATTTAAGTTAATTTATTATTTTCAAATTATGTTTAAAAGATATTACCATTCCTCCGATACGAGAGAGATAACGATTTCTAATACTAATATCGGATTGTGGTTGTAAAAGATCGTCAGTCGATAAATCTGAAGTAGATTCCGAAGTCAACAATTTTTCTCTTTCGAAACTTTCCGGTGTTCGTTGAATTTGTTCATATTTTTCTCTCTGATTCGGTGTCATGTTCAGATAACCACCAGTAGTTGCTACATCCGATACCCAGATTGCAACAGCTGTTATCAACGAAACTGTAAAAATATCAATTATAAATTACTATACAAACATTTATATCATTAAAATATGAAGTAAAGAAAAACATACTCCATAGCCAACCCAAAAAAAACATCTCAAGCATAAAATATCCACCATGATCAACAATTATACCAGCTAGTATTGAAACTACGGCTAAACCCAAATTTTGTACAGCTTGTGCACTGTAAATAAAGAATTTTGTAAGATCAACAATTCAAATATTTCAAAGATGTTTCAAGAGAGTGTTGTAATTTTACTTACATTCCATAAGCAGTACCAAGCTGATATTCTGGAGTAACAAGTGCTATCAATGGCCATAAACTACTAGCGAGCATAGAGTATGCTAATCCCATAAGAATCATGCATACATAAGGATTTACATATGTAAATGCGAGTAGTCCATGAGCTACTATAGTTACAAGAATACTAATAAACACCCAGGAAACGTTCTTTCCGGTTTTATCAACAAGATAACCCAGTATGGGAGATGCAATAGCCGATATGAAATACACAAGGGAATTAACAGTATTTGCATTTGATGGTTCAAACGCATACTTTCGCTCAAAAAATACTCTAAGAAAAAGAATTATGTAACATAGTACGTAGTTGTGTAAAATATATAGAGCTATATAAATTGCTTGTTATTCGTACTTACTTTCCCAATGCGACAAATGGAAATATTGCAACATAATAAGCAATGCAAATAAGAGCAATCAACCAAAATATTAGTTTGAAATCTTTAACATCTGTTAAACTAACGGCTTCGGTTTCTTGTCCTTCACCCCTTCTTAATAATCTCTCAGCACGTTTGTCCATAATACCCAGTACACATGCACAGATCATAGAAATTACACAAGTAAGAGCGGCAAGAAAGAGAGCTATGCCAATACATTCTGGTCCTTTGTAATACTGAGATACATAATTATAAATTGGTTCCATTACTAAAAAGTTCACAGTTGATCCTACTCTAGCGAAACTTAGCTGCAAACCAAATACCAAGTTCAACTCCTTTCCTTTAAACCATAGAACAGCGTAACTATTTTGAGCAACAGCTAATGATTCTGCACCAATACTGTAAAAAGTATTAAAATTAATACCAAAATCATAAAATATTTCAAATAAATATTGTAGAAAGAAACATACCCAAAAACAAAGCGACCAACCATCATTAGCCAAAAGGTATTAATTGTAGCTCCAGTTGCAAATATAATCTGACCGATTAATGTAAGTCCCATATATATAATTGTTCCTAGACGTATGCCAAATACGCTATCTAATAAAAATCCGCCAATAAAACAAAGAATCACGTTCGGCCACGAGTAAATGGAATATAATAAAACAAATTGGCTAGTTGGCATCTGTAGGTCAGTTTTAAAATCATCTTGTAAAGCACCAGGATTGTCGAAACAAAAGTAAGAACCTGTAAATAAAAGCATTTCGTTTGATTAATTGATACATTAAATGAAAATGCAGTTGTGTGATGTGTGAATCATCTTAAAGAGGTCTATGACTGATTGCTTTTAACAAGATATTCAAAAAGACGTTAAAAAATGATTACTAAAACAATCTGAGTTGGCGCAAGAATCTCTCTTTATCTTTACCTTCACTACATATATTCCTAACAATCAACATCAAGAATATTAAAATATTTCGTCGACAAAATACCAACGTAATGATATGGCTTATCTCGTTGTCAGGTCATGTGCAAAACTTACACAATTGCATATTTTCTATTAGTTGGATAAATTATGGAAGGAAAATAAACTGTGATTAGTAAGATTTTTACACAATACTACTATACTACTATTAATACTAAAATTGTTGTTTTTCGTAAATCAACAAAAAAGAAAAATAAATACGATTTTATATTTCTTGAAAAGCTTGCTTTATACATATGTATATATATATATATATTTTGTTTTTTTAAATAGTTCAAAATACAAAATTTTTACATATGAACTTTTTTTACAAAACGAAATTAATACGACATTAGAAAAGTAAATTAATCAAATTAACATGATTGTTTTCTTCATTGTTATCTTATAATTACATATATTTTTAATGTATGATAAAAGAATTTTTAAATTGCATTTCATCAGAATTGCAAGATAGTAGATATCAAAGTACAAATTTCAATGTTTACCAAAAAAAAATCGAATGGACATCGTAAGATTCGATAAATAAAAAATAAATAAATTATTGCATGCTTAAAATAAAATTATTTCACAAAGAATTTAATCAGGAAAAAAAGAAAGTTGAATATATTGGTCATTTCAGATAGCCAAGTTCAAACACTTTTAACGAGGTCACAATATGCCGAAGCAGACATAAACAATGGCTACTTGATCATGAAAAAATAATATAAGAAATGACGATCGTACCAAAGCCTAACAGGCACATCAACGTCAGGCCAAGAACTTTGTGTAGTGACTTTTTAGGACTGCAGAATCCTTGCAAGGCAATCTCATCGTCGGATCTTTCGAGAGTAACCTCTGGATTTTCTAATATGCCTCCTTCCATTGTTACATACGTTTGCAATCAAGGCGATATTATAAATGTTTACAAGCGCCAGGCACAACTACAGGTGCCTCGAATTACAAAAGTTCACTCGAGTTCACTCCATTCAAGTGCCAATCCATCACACATTGATCGAACGTACACGAGCTAATCTCTCTGTAAAATAAGGTAGCTACAACTCGATTAATAAAAAATAGGAGATCAACTCATGAATGCTGCCGTTTAACTAATTTAAACAAGTTGAATAGGCTGCCAGTTGTGTCATTACTAATTCGTCAATCACATGCGTCATATAAATGAACTAACGTAAGTCACGAAACCTACCAAATACCAAAAGATCAACGGAAAATTCTCTATTCATTGAGATAGACGATGAGCGCAGTTGGAATTGCTACCAACAATTTGACGCATCTTTGTCGCTCGATTTTCCGATCTGTGGCGCCCCCATTAAAACCACTAGTAGACAGTAAGTCGGTAAGAACGCTACGAGGAAAGCAGTCGTAAATGATTTTCAAAAATCTATTTAACAAACATAACTTATTTAAGATACATATTGATTACTTAATGCTAGATATTATATGAAACGTA